AGTAACTATAACATAGAATTCTAATCAGTGGAGGGCCAGCCAAATAGCTCAGTGGATTAAAGCACCTGCAAGCAGGCACAGGGGCTAGGGGTTCACTGAGCAGGCAATTGAGACTGAGCATGGTGGTGCATGCCTGTAATCCCAGCTCTTGGGAGGCTGTAAACAGGCAGATCACTAGGAGTTCAATCTAGTAGTGAGACCCTAATCACCCTGTAGGCCCTTCCCTAAAATACAAAAAAAAAAAAAAAAAAAAAGAGAGAGAGAGAAAGAATTATAATCAGTGTACTACATACATACATACACACACACACACACACACACACACACACACACAGAGTCATATATCAAAAGACTTGCAGGGGGGCCTGCCCCTTAGCTCAGTTCTTTAAGTGGCTGCTTCAACAAAGCAGCTCAGGTTGCTGTGGTTCGATCCCCACAACTCAAGCCAGCCAAAGCTGCCCTGAAGGCATTCAGAGAAAAAAAAATCCTTATTCCAAAAAACTTGCAAATATACATATAAAAATCATTTAAATTAAAATGTTTCTCTTCTATTTCCCATATGTATGTACATGTGAAAGTGTATGTATGTTTTCAATAAGAGGGTTTTATATATGAATCTACTAAAAGAGTTGCAAGGACAAGAACAAAATGTTTATTAAGAAAAACTAGGAGTGTGAGGCATGTATTATATAGTTTATTGTGGGAGTAGCTGAAGCTGAAGATTAATCATATATGTAGGGCTAGAGCAAGGCTAGCCCCAAGAATATGGAGTGCCCAAGGCAAGCCAGGTGAACAAGCCATTATGTTTTACATGATAGCAACCTGCTGAGTACATAAATGAACTTGCTGCAGTCATTGGGAGGCTTCTTTTCTCCAGCAAGAGAGAGGGCTCCACCTGACCTCAGCTTTCAGCATTTTCACTCTTGGCATTCATTTCTTCATGGCTTCTCAAGAGCTGTGCTGGAAATGGCAATTTATAGTCAAATGTCCCAAAAAAACCTCATGGGCTCAAAGGTGGGCCTTTGGAAAGGTGACTGGGCAGACTATTAGATGGTGGGTTCTAGCAGAAAAGGTGGGTTGCCATGGGTGTGACCTGAAGGGAAAATCTCCTTTTCCATTTCTTCCTTTAACTCCTTCTTTTCTGGATGCTATGACGTGAGCAGCTCCTCTGGTGCTTTGCCCCTTTCCTATGCATTGACCCTTGGAGCCAAGTGGTGTTCCTTAATTGTGAGCCAAAATAAATTTCTCTTCCTGTAAGTTATGTCAGGTATTATGTCTCAGTGACAACGACAGTAACTATGAAAGCATATTTAAGTTTAGATCCTATACTCTAACCATTACAACTTTAGCTTTTCCATATAGAACCAGCTCTTTTTCCCTCTGCAAAGCTGTTATCAAAAGAGATTTTTATCAGATGCGTACTTCAGTACAAAATTCAGTGACTTTATTACTTGCCCATAAATACTGACATGTACAAATCTGATTTTTGTATGCCCCTAAATCTGTTAACACTTGGTATGACTGTTAGTATATATATATATCTATTCAAATGATGATGCACTATGAGTGCAAAGAATTTCTTCCTGCTTTGATGCCTTACTGGAACTCTATAAAGACTTCAAAAGAAAAACCAAGTCACACACACACACACACACACACACACACACACACACAATTATGCCATTGGAGTAGATGCCAGAAAAAGACAGGAGGTATGTGGTTAGATAGTCTCAAATTGCTTCCATGTATTTTAATTCTTGCCATACCTTTAACTTCTTTTTCCTTGGAATGCTGGAAAGTGAAAAACCAGGACATTGCACAAGATGCTAGATACATGCTTTATGGCTGAGCTAAGTCCCCAGCCCTTGCCCACCTTAAAGATACCACAACTGGAATCCCAAGTAGCTACAACATAGAATTCTAATCAGTGGACTACACACATACATATATACATACACACATACACACACACACACACACATACACACAGTCGTATATCAAAAGACTTGCAAATATACATATTAAAATCATTTAAATTAAAATGTCTCTCTTCTTCTATTTCCCATTCGTACACGCATGTGAAAGTGTATGTATGTTTTCAATAAGAGGATTTTATCTATGAATATACTAAAAGAGCTGCAGGGACAAGAACGAAAAGTTTATAAAGAAGAAGAATCAATGTAAAGAGAGTAACTGATGCTATCAGAATCAGAGTCAGGAAAGATACAGGCAATAGGTCACAAGCTGAGTAGCTACAAAATATGGAGTAAAGGCAGTGAGCCACAAGAACAATGTGGATAAAGGCACAGAAGTCCAAGTAGCACAGCTTGTTGAGAAAATCTGAACCCCTCAGTAGACTGAGGGGTTCAAAATAAAATAGCATCAATAGAAACCAAAGAAACAGGGTCTAAGTCTTCAAGACCCTTAAAAGCCAGAATATGTTATACTTTGAGAGAAAACACAGAGTTACATGCATTAGAACACATAATTGAATGTATACATTGAAAGACTAGTATAGCAGCAGCAGCAAGAGATTTGAGGGCATAGAGGATGACATACTGATCCAAAATGATTTGGATAAGTCAAGAAATGAGAGCCTAGTAATAAGTAAAAGGAAATTAACATGAAAACCATTATAAAGGTAGAACTGGGGAATGGGAGAGAATCTGGCTGTACTGAGCTTGGGCTGGGTAAATAGTAAAAAGAGGGAAACAGCAAAGATAAACCTACAGGCTGCATTTGGATAACAAAGTGTGGGCCATCATAGAAAGTTTGGATAGCAAAACCTTCATGGCGGTCTAAACCTCAAGGAAATGCTAGAGAACTTCTACTCAGGCGTCCTGAGAGGTGGTGCTGGGATTCCACACCTCAGGCTGATGTCACAGCTAGGCCATCCTATTGCAAACAGCTAGAGTTCTTCCTTCAGAATTCTGTGTGCTTGGGGAATTGTTCTGTGCGTGTGTCTCAAGTCCTGCAGCTAACAGGTCATGCCTACTTCTGCTGCCAGCCTTTGTCACACCCTAATATCCTATCTCAGCCCTTTATATATGAAACCACAATTGGATGTCATCATGGAGTAAGCCCAGGGAGAGCGAAAAAAAGAAACGGACAAAGAACTGAACCACTGAACCCTGAGTGATACCCACATTTTGAATGACAAAAAGGCACTGCTGCACACATATTGTAGGAGGCTATTATTTTAGATTAAGTTTCTGTATTGGGCCACAACAGATCAGACCAAGTGTCTTGGTTACCTTTCTCTTATTGCTAAGAAAAAATACCCAAAATTAAGAAAGGTTTATTTAACTCAAAATCTGTATAGATTTCAGTCCATAATCAGCTGGCTCCAAGGCAGGGTGGCACACAGCAGAGGGCAACAGCTCATGGTGCAAGAAAACAGAAAAAGCAGCAAGATTAAAAAGGGAGGAGCAAGAAGAGCAAGCCTCTTTCCTTCCCTTATATTGCATGCAGGCTGCCCCCCCCCCAGGGCACCCACAATCCAGCATTAGATGATGAATCAGTCAAAACTGTAGAAGCCCACCCCATGAATGCCTGAGGCTTTGGGGGACATCTAGGCACAAACCATAATGCTAAGAATCAAAATAGTCTCTCATCCTAAAGTTTCATGTCACCAAACTGTAACAAAGCTGCTTATCAGATCTTCTGGACAAATCAGGGATTAGATAACAGCCAAGTTTACCAAACAGGCCAGTTTGAATTGGCATGACCATTATACAGTTCCTCTGCCTTAATCCTTCCACACACAAAAAAGTAAGCTGATGTTAACTAATCAGGTATTAAAAAAATTATCAAGTAATCAGGTAATTTCCTCTTGTTCTGTATTACTGTTCAGCCCATTAGAACACTTGCTCTATTTTATGAAATGAATTGTTGCCCAATTCTGGAATTGAAAATAAAAGTCAATATCTTTAAACTGTTATTAAAAGTTTTTTTTGAGTCAGGATCTCCCTATATACTTCAGGCTACTCTTGAACTCACTGTATGTAACCTAGGCTAACTTCAACCTCACAGAGATCCTCCTGTGTCAGCTTTCCTGGGATTATAGGAATCTGCCACCATGTCTGGCTTGAGTAACTACCACAATTCTATCTTAAGACAATATTGACATAATATTTTAATAATATTAAAATACTGCCAGGCATGGCAGTGCATAACCATAATGCCAGAACTCAAAGGTTTCCAGTGAATTCAAGGCCATCCTAAGCTACATAACAAGCCCCTGCCCCCCCCAAAAAAAAAGAAGAGAAAGAATGAAAAAGGGAGGAAAAGAAGAAGAGAAAGAAAATCAAGACAGTCAAAGAGGGTGAAATCATTCCAATGAGCCCGGATAAATAGCTCTGTTGGCTCAGTTGTGGAGTTTTTGCCAAGGCCTAGGGCCACCCTTTCTTTTTTGTTTGTTACCATCTGCATTTATATTAGCATGCTGGTCTTCTGAGTGTTTTGTTTTTGCTTTTCTTGCCCCCAAACAGTGGGTGGTGGAGAGGGAGACTAAGTGGACAAGGAACAGGCACCATTATCATGGGGGTGGGGGGGCATACCCAACACAAATGCCTATCCAAAGGCTATTCTGCCACCCAGTCATACACTCTAACCCAGGTCATCCAAGTTCCCCGCACGCTCCCCCTCTTTAGATACCCTTGTTTGAGCACCTGCTGTGTAACCCGGCTTAGACTTTCTATCGATGGCTCTAGCAAACCTTTATTAAGACCTCAGAACCTTCAAAATGCCACACCTCTAAAGGTCCCTCCCTAATGCTCCCAGAGAAAAGTAAAGCATTTTTCATTTGTGTTCCAACAGTTTTGTCCATATTTTTCAGGGTTTTGTAATGATCAGCTGTGCCTGTGGCTCCAACAGGGACTGCAGACCAAATAATTCAAGGTCCCATTAGAGTCGGAAACACTACAACTCCCGTCAGGCAGTGGGGCCGCGGGACCCACAACTCCCACCATCCTTTGCGAGGCGCAAGGTCGTCTGGTTAAGAAGCCAAGCGATACGCGGGTAAACATTTAAAGAATCTGTGTCAAAGTCGCGCTTCTGGATGGCAGCGTGTGAGGAGGAGCCTGAATCCCCGACAGACCATCTGGATGTAGCACGAGGCCAGGAGAACGTGCCAGTTAGCGTGTGGCCCCCGGGGGCGGGGCCAGAACCCTTCCAGGTAGGGGCGGGGCTGGGAGACCGAAGCGGGGCGCGCGTCTCCTGCGGGTGGCAGCTTTCAGTCCGAGTAGGAAGCTGCGGGCAGCTCTCGACGTTTTTTGTGCTATTACACGTGAGAAAAGTTACATGCACACGCTTTGATCCTTCCCAAGCTTTGGGTCCTTCTTCGTTAGCAAGGACTTTGCCCTCTTCTGACCGTAGACTGGCGGTTCCCTGAATGAAAGACTCGAAACCTTCTGTAGGCCCTGGAGCGCTGAGAACCGTTTTTGTCGGTTCTTTCCTCAGAACTCAATTTGTTTCCAAGGCAAATTAGTCACTTGTGTGATTTCTGGGGCCTTATATGTACGATTAGGCTAAGCCCTAATAAAAGCTGTCAGCCTGGTGTCCTACATAACAGCCCTGGAATCACTTGGCTGAGATCTCACATGTGAGGTCTCGGCCAGATACAGATCATCTCCTGCAGAGCCTTGCAGCCCACCGGTGCACAGTTTAATACCATTCTTCTCAATTGCTCTGAAAATTACAAATATAGTTTGTAGTTCACTGTACGAACTCAGCAAGTGCTCACTGCTCCTATCACTGTGTCAAAGCCCTTTCTCTTACTTTCTCTTCTCCTGACTGAGGACCAAAAGTTGTCAAAAGAATCAACAACAAAAAACCCTAAAGACAACCCTGAAGGCGTGGCTCCTGGGGCACGCCTGTAACCCTAGGTATTCCAGAGGATCACTGAAGTCCAGGGATTTGAGACCAGCCTGGACAACATAGCAAGATCAAGTTGTGAGGGTGAAATGAAATAATTGAATTGCAATTTTTGAAGTAAGTTAGGATATTAATATGAGAAATTATTAGTCTCAAACTATGATTTATCACTAACAATACAAGTCTATTAGTATATTTGTATTGGCCATGTACAGTTAATACAAGTGGATAGCACTATACGAAACACAGTTGCCTACAAGATTATTCAAGACCAAATATTACAGAATGCCTGGTCACACATTGATACATGTTTCTTTGTGAACAAATAATTGAGTACATGCACCAGGCATGGTATTAGCAAGACCTAGAAAAGAAGATGATGAATCATGCAGTTCTTGCCCTTAGGCCTATAAATTATGTAGAAATGGTTGCTTCTCCACCACCACCCCACCCGAAGCCTGAGTCCTGAGGCGTGGCTTGTGCTAGGCAAATACTCTACCACTGAATTATTCTCTGACTCTTAAACACTAAAGAAAAAAAATCACTTTTCTAATGTATTCCAACTTAAATTCAAATATTCATCAAGAACTCAGTACATGCAGAATGGTGAGTTGGGTTGCAGAGAGTATAAAAAGCAGAAAAACATATTCCCTGCCCTCAAAATGTTAACAACTAAGTTAGAAATAATTTTAATCAGTTTGCACTATTTTTCAAAACTTGTTTTTGTCTGAATTCTTTAAATCTGTTTGTAATCTTGAATCATGTTTTTCCTTGCCATATCCAAGAACATTCTGTAAAACTGTTGGCCAAATATATTTCTTTAAGTATAAAATTAACTTGTTCAAGAATAAATTGGCCAGGCCTAATGGCACTGGCCTGTAATCTCAGCTACTCCAGAGACTGAGGGGGAGGATCATAAGTTCAAGACCAGCCTGGGCAATTTAGCAAGACCCTGTATCAAAATAAAAAAGGATAGAGATGTAACTCGATGGTAGAGCACTT